GAGCCGCATGCTTAGTCGCTTCCACCTCGTTCATTCTTTATGGGTGAATGGGAGAAACATGAAACCTGCCATGGTCCCAACCTGCCATGGCACCAACACAGAGTTAGAAAGAAGGTGCTCCCAGGCATGGGGGGATGGGATACTTGAAGTCATCTGATGAGGCCGTGTAAGGAAATTCTGAAAGAAATTTCTGCCTTCTTGTTAAACGATGTGCACTTAGTGGGTTTGTTATGTTCATAGCCATGCTCATTGACAGGGGCATGTGCTGCTACGGGTATAAATTGTGACCTGAAAGGACTATAACTCTAATAGCTAAAAGTCAGCCCGAAGGAAGTATATGTTGAATTTAACTTGATTAACTCAGTATATAAACCTAAAATAATGAGAAGCAAACAACTAGATTTATTCTGGATTCCCTAACATTACTAAAGCCAAAACTTGACATGCATATATTAATAACTGGCACTAAATGTATATTTAGCTATATAGTATAGTTAATATAATTACATAGCTGTACATATAATTGTATAGCCTAAATATTATATTCATATTTTCCTATCTTTAAAATATATGCCATTAAGAGAAAGACACAATCTCTTGGTAAATGCAAAATACCAGGTGTCTGATGCTCTCACTTACTGGTTTAAACGATCTCAGCCTGCAGCATATCAGTTCTATTATTTATTAGTAAATGAAGTGTTGTTTGTGTCAGAGACCCATAATGGCTTGGGTTAATGCAGTCATCTCTAAGAAGATCTACCCTTGGAGCCTGCTGAGACATTTTTAAAAACAGAATGTAACCATAGCAGAGCAATGTCCCATGAGCAAAAGACCTTGTAGAAACTGTTGGTAAATTACTTTCTGTTGGTAAATCTCTTTCACTTTCTGTACTGTAGTAGATCTTCAATAAACAATTTGAGTTCTTTAGGAGCATGATGCAGTGGGAGTTTTAAGTAGTCTCCTGGGAAGCCTGAATTTGATTACTAACCTTGGTAGTTCTTCCATTTGACAGAAGAGTTACTATAGTTTGGTTGACACGTTATTGATATATTGGAGGAATGGGAGAATTACATTGTCATCATACACAAGTGGATTATTTTCTCATTACAAACTTTAAGACCTTGTTGAATTTTAAAACATACTCTATTCAGAGGTACCTACAATTGTTTTTCCAAATGTATTTCTTAAAGATTGATTTGGGGAGGGAGTGTCTCTTGAGGTTGAAGGAGGTTTATTGCCATTATCTATTTGCATTATGATCTTGGAATAATCTGATCTGTATTCAACAAAATATTCTGAGAGAGTATATTGCTATTACTTTAAACATATGCCATGGAAAAATAATCTCTGCTTAAAGTTTATCTTTTTCTTTATGCACTTATCATCTCATATTTAATAGAACAGGAAAACAGGACATTGTGGTTCTGAAGGGAAACAAACTTCAGGAAATTGCAATAGGTTCACGAGTTGGCCAGGGGAGGGAGTGATGCAGCCTTTCTGGCTTGTGAGATCAATGTTTCAGCCTAAATTGCTATTCCAGCAATCTGCTTTCGTGCCATTAAACCTCGATTAAACCAATAATAAGAACAACAGATCATATTTTACTCTGCCTGCTTTAAATGAAGACAACCATTAACAATTCAGAAGGGATGCATAAGTATTAGAGGTAGTAGAAGTGTGACACACCCCAGCTCATAGCTAAAAATTTGATAGTACACAGGGGATTCCTGACTCCCTCTGTGTTGAAGAAAAGCTTAAGAAACGAACTTTCATGCAGTAGGAGCTTTATGTGTTGTAGGTTCTAAATAGTAGACCAAGAACATTAGTGAGATTTAAAATCACACACAAATACAAAGCAGAAAAAAATACAGCCTTTTTCTTCAGTCATGTCTTAGCTTCCAGGCAACATAAAGATAATGAGCAAGTTCTGAGAGTAACTGTATAGCCAAGGGAGTAATACTGGTATAGCACTGGGAGAAAAGCTTTTAAAACTGCTAATCTACCCCTGTTTCTTAATGGGTAAAAAGAAAAGCGGGTGGATCAAAATTATCATGCAATCAACTTTGTGTTTATGTCAGAATTCATTACTGCCTATTAACATTGCTATTTTATCATAATTAATAATAAGATAGGCAAAATTGCATGACTCAATAATGGAGGAAATATTATGACTACGGAAAGAAGGAGCCGGCTGGTGGGTAGGATAAAATAAAAAGAAAACCAGAACTGGGGAGAGGGAAGAGCTTCAATGTTCCAAAGCATTTAAATGTTACCTACTATTCTAGTATTTCCTTGTCTGACATTCCATTTATCCTTAATGATGCAGAAAACTGAGAATATCATGTATTTTTGTTACCTACAGATATGAATATCTCTGCCTATAGCAATCGGGACTCTGCTCAGGCAGTTCGTCTGTTGCTAACTACTTTGGGTTCCAAGCAGTTGCTTTGGTTGCTAGCTACAGTCAGTGCTGTCTGTTCAGAAGCAGAAAAAAGTAGCAGAGCTCTTTCTTCCATATTCAGTAGGTCTTTGCTTGAAGTAGGCTACAGCTAGAGTAAGAACCCTTTATTTCTTCTGAAGACTTATGTCTAAGTGACACCAATACAGAAGTACTGCAGAATCAATGGACTTGCTGGGAAATGGCATATGCACAGCTAGGTTCAAGAGCTAACTCATTGCCTCTAGAAGTTTGGCAGAGACAATACTGGTCTGAGGATCCTACTCTCAAAGCAGCCCTAATCCAGTTGGATGCTCCCTTGTGTTTTAATGTTCTGAATGTGGCCTCTGTAGCAACCATTCCGCAGCTTGAGAGCGACCACATTTAACAACTTTATTCATTTTATCCCAGTGCTCGTCACCCCCAGAGATTCCTCCTCTTTGCATTTCACGCTGTCTCCTGCTTCTGTGGCTATGAGCACAGGAGTAGTCGGCACAGCCAGCCCTGGGAGATGGCTGTTACTAGCCATATGGCCCTGGTCAAATCTCTGATGATATCCTCTGCACTAGCAGAAGCAACAGTATTCTGAACTGCTGAAATGCTGTTATGAAATAGTACAAAAACAAGACATGGTGCTAATGGTGGCTTGATCCTATGAACTGTGTTGTTTTAGGTAAAACTGCACTTTTTTTTTGGCAAGGCACCACTCCAAAGAAAATATTTTGGCTTATTCTTCTTACAGTGACAATTTCATCTCAGATGGTAAAGGGCAAGAGTGTATTTTTAGATCCACTTTTCTCCCTTGTAATTGGGCTCAAGGGTTGTTTGATCTGATCACTTAATATAATTGTCTTTCTTTGGTCTGACGTCAGGAAGGGGGGATGGGAGAATAATGATCACATCTGCAGGTGATAAAATATGTTTCAGAATAACTCAACCAATCTCAGCATAGGAGCACTACCAAACACACTGAACAGCTTGTCCTAATGCTTTAGTATTCAGCCTCATAGCTCTTTAGACTTAATTTCAAAGTATTTATTTGTATTGTTGCTGGAATACTGCTTTCTAATCTAATAATTAATGCAATTGCTTAAGCTTATGTAGCCTGATTTCTCAGTGGTCCTTGGCCACACTGTCTATGCAGCATCATTTGAAAAAAATGGAGAAGTGGCAGCTCTTTGTAATCTCTACAGCACACAGCTGGTTGCATTCAGCCAAGCACAGGTTCTAGCAAGTAGCTGGAACACCCAAGCAAATCTGTTTTCTGCTGTAAATATATTTGCATTTGTACAGCAAGAATAAGCTGATTGTAAGTGGCACATAGGTATATGTAGATTGTTGTATTAGCAAGTCTTTCATGCATTTAAAATGTGGTGAGTCTGTAAAAGTTGGCATTCAGAAGTATATAAAACATATATATATATAATATAAGGGCGTTGGTAGCAAGAAAACCCACCAGTGAAAGACACAATGAAGCAGACCTTTCTTAACCCTTCACCCAATTTAATTTGTACAATCTGCCATGGGCTCGGCTTTAAACCTGGATTAAAGCCCCAGATTCCGTGCTGGGATAAACTAAATTCCACAGAGGTTTTGCCCATTTACACAATGATAGAGTTTGTTCCCACAGAATAATGACATACTTTCCCGTCAATAATTTCACCCCTTGAATGCCAAGTTACAGTTCAGAGACACTTATTCCTGCTTCACTGGGTGTACAATTGGCACCAAGAGCTCCAAGAGCTCCTCTGCTCTGTCCGGTGGCGTTCATCCTTGTGAGATTTCAGAAAAAGGATTTGCCTTCAGCTTTTTGCCTGGATCATTTCCCAGTCACACAGTGCACCCTAGCAGATGGCTACATCCATCTCCACTACAGTTGTACAACGACTTCCTTCCTATACCCGTTAGCAAAGCTTAGCAGTTTTAACCCTCCCGTGCATGTATCGCCAAGATGCTGACGTCAGTGGGAGCCTGCCCAGCCACACGGCTCTGCCTGCGTCAATCAGCAGCAGTGAGGATCAGGGCTTAATAAATCACAGGCAATCAGTACCACCAACATTGAGACTCACTCTATAGGAATGATTTAGCTATATCTGGGTTTTAATTAATTTTTTTAAAGCTTTTCTCACTCAGCCAAGCCCATTACCTCCTACATTCTTCCTCCTTGGGCCCAAATGTCATGGGTTCAATTTTCGTGTTCACTCTGCCTAAATGAGGCAGCTACATCAAATGCATTTTTTGCCTATTCAGGGCTTTTCTTCTTTTCAGTTCAACCTTTTTCTCCTTCATTTGGCAAGTCATTTCAGGGAAGCTTAGATATAGGGGTGTGTTTGCTTGTTTCTTTTATGTACATGACAGGGCACTTATATAATTGTTGAACATTTACTTGCTCACTGATCCTATAGAAGATAACTGCACCTGACATTCTACATTTTCCTGCTAGTTAGGTTCCTGCAAAAACTTTCAAGAGCATTAACACGAAACCAAGAGGAGCAATCCCTGTGGTTGTTTTCCCCTTGAGCTCTCTGCAGTGAAGAACATCCTGCGCTCCTTTGTTTTTCAGGTTGATGGCTTCCTGACACTTCTGTTTGGCCTGGCTAGCATTAATACCCTTACAGTAATCAGTGTGACTCGCTACATCAAGGGCTGCCATCCTGAGAGAGGTAAGGAGTAAAGCCAAGTCCAGTTCTGTCTTTACTGATCCTGGCTCAAACCTGTATTTCTTTCAGTCACAGGCTATATTGAATGTAAATTAGATGTGTTCATAACCAGAAGGTAATGCAATGATTTAGATTACAAATATGTTTGCATAGAGTCCTTCAGGGTTAACCCAAATAAAAGCCAAATTTTACTAGTACACTTTGGTCACCATGGGTTAAATTCACTCATTTGCCAAAGATACCATAGGTCCTGCTGACCCTCTTGTTCAAAATGCAACTTAAATGACTCCTAAGTGATGCGTACATCGTTGTCTGGATCTCACTGTAAGAAACAAATCTCATCTTCTATGAGATGATATTCAGGAAGTTTCCAGTCATTGATAAGAACCTTGGTTCAGTAGGCTGCCCTGCATGCAAGCATCATCACTCCAGAGTGTTTTGCCAGGGTTTGCACGCAGCAGGCATCATGGATTGCTTTAGATGGCACTGGGAACTTTCAGTCAGCAGATCTTGCCTCCAGCTTCTGTAGCACTGCGCAGCCTGCCATCCTCACGCACCTCTTCACCCTCTCCTCAGTAGACAATTTCACACCACAGGAGATGAAAATTACTCCTACCATCCCCAGAACGGACCATGACCTGACTCTGCTGGATGGTCCCATCTCCCAGATCGACAAAAGCATCATCACCGCATTCTCACACTCACACTTCTTCCTTGCCCTGTTGTAGCCTGAATATCTCACACAGTGACTGTTCATTACTCTCTCCAGCGCTAGGAGCCCTTAAAAACCCCCACTCTGTGCTTTTTTGAATTTGATTTTTTTATTAACGTTTGTTTAAAATGCCTCTGTAAAGTATCCCACTGTACAAATCTGGTCTGAAATCCTTTACACTTTTCCTGCCCTGCGAAACCCCCACCAACAAGTCCATATAAACGTGCTGTCATCTACTCTTTTCCTTTAATGTCTCTTTACATCACGACACTCACCCCAGGCACTCCATTTCATGAGATCAGTAGAAACCTTTCCATACCATTCATGCTGGATCTCCTGTCTGCTGAAAACTTTTACTTCCACTGAGACCCTTATATAATTTCTCTTCATACCTACATAAATTCTCTCCTTTCACTTATCTTTAGATAATGTATTAACAATTTTGATGCCCTTGCTGTGACTGGCTTGCACCATATTTCAGACAGGAACTTATTAATGTCCACAGGTAAAGCACACACAAATACACTGGATGTATCGTATGAGTTTTTCTCTCTAATCGCATGAGCAGTATTAGCTGTGCGAAGAACTTCTTCAGGGAGGTCTTTTTTCCACCAGAAATCCTCCTGCAATTTATTGTAATGATAGATTTTTTGAAGACAATTTTCAGCACAAACTGCCGTTGGACCTGCTGGAATTTGGCTTTGATGTATTTTACATTTTATATTCATTGTGTATTATGAAGTCATATTTAAAACCCACATTTCTCTTCTGCAAAGCTGAATTGCATGTTCATCTGAGGGTGTGCATAATTTTTTTGCCTCTTGAGGAAATCTGAGTAAGTGCCCGGTATAACTTTACAGAAATGTTGAGGAACAGAGATTGGTGGATGCATAAATATTTCCCATGCAAATGAAAAAATAACCACAATGTGTGGCAACAGCAGGACAGATTTGTATTGCAAGGCTAATGTAGTTTCAGCGTCAGGGAAAACCTTGACGTAAATAAGAAAATCATCTGAATTCATAATTATTTTGTTTGTTTCTGTGTAAAACAACATACAATTTTTTCCTGGGTTTTACAAAATTGCAAAACGTGAGTTAAATGTAAAACTTTCTAATTTTGTAGTGCTCAAGAAAAACATTGTCTCCTGCTTAAAAGCTATTTACAAATGGCCTTGAAGACACGCCTGACATGCTTTCAAATTTAAGCTTTTCTTACAAATATGATTTTTTTCTTACTATTTTTTAATAGCAGTATTTTCCTTATTAGCTGTCAGTATATGAGTCCATTTAGATTTCAGAGACATGTTTGCATTTCCAGATATTATTTTCTGACTAAACCATTCCACTGCAGGTCATTGCATTAGCAACAGCAGTATGACGGTGTCTCTGGTTCTCATTTGGATAGCAGCTTTCTTCTGGTCAGCAGCTCCATTACTTGGCTGGGGCAGTTATACAGGTAACAGATGTCTTTCAGTTGTATTTATTTGGTATCTCTCCACTTAACTGAACAAAGATAATTATCGTCCTTTCTTGCTGTTTGTGATAAACCAGACCAATTACCAATGGAACTGAGAAAATTATTCATCATGTATGATTTATGTGCAGAGTGTTGCCTGCTGTAGTGTCAGCTATAAAGAGATATTTTTTTTAAGATATCACAGGAAAGACTTGGACCAAATGTATATTACCTATGAAAAAAAGAGAAGCCAGAAATATTTGGCGTGGTTAAGCAATGAGATAAAGGGAACTATCAAAAGACATCCTTCAAAAACTGTCAAGATTAGGAAGCTAGAAAAGAACACAAGTTCCAGCAAGTTAAACTTGAAACTATAATAAGATAAGCCAGAAAGATTTGGTGAAACAGTTTGTTGAAAATATGAAAACTAACATAGCAGAAGAAGAAAAAGTCTGTCAGTCCAAGAATTGATTAGGGTGCAAGATAAGGCTATAGAAAAAAAAATGAGTAAGAAAAATGAAATATTTGGAATATATTTTGAAATTTTTCGAACACTGTGGTAATTCAACAGCTAAGGGATATTCCCTAACCAGAATTTTTTTTTCATGGAGATAAGTTGGAGAAATTGTCTCAACAAAACAAATCTCTAGGTAATGATACAGGAGTCCTAACAACTGAAAATGAACTGAAATGGTCCAGCTGTTGCCTGCCTGGATTCTGTAGGCATCTGCATCCTTCCAGAAGTCATGCAATCTATCAAGACTTATTACAGCAGCTATGAGACTACATCCTCTTACTTATTAAATATATAAGCCTGGAGATGTCTCTAGCCCCTTGAAGTATGAATGTGAGAAGATCATCCATTTCTATGATTGGTTGAATCTTCTATCCTTCCCAAATCAAAACGTTATTAGGATATTAGGCTTAATGGATCTTTTATTCAAGTCAAAATCAAACTATTCATTTGACTCTTCTAATTCCATGTCACGTTTTTGCATTCTGGTTATGTCACAAACATGGGGAGTTTGGACTGGTCATTTTCTGTGTATCTTCTGGCTAGCTGTGTTTTCTTCCTACATTAATATTAATAGCTCTTCATTTTTAAAAGGATTTCTGATGTTCATTTTTCACTGTAAACTGGAGCCAGAGACATTTTGGGCATCACTGCCTTGTCAGGGCATCCAAGTGCCCCCATGGATCATCTCTGTACTTCGCATTCAATCCCTTGAGAGCAGTCTTCAAGATCATTTCTAGGAGCATCTTTCCCTGCTGAGAATCACAGTGGTTTCAGGGATATCTGACTCTAAACACATTTCCATTGAGGGCACCTGCGGAGATGTGGGAGCCCAACAATGGCAATCCCAGCAGCAGGCAGTGGAGCTGGCAGTAGATGCCATCAGACCATGTTGCATTACACCTGCCTGCCTCGGACCTCTCACTTCTACACAGCAGCTGCAGGGGTCCCCAGGACCCTGCTCGTTTTTGGAAATGCTACTTGCCCGTGTCCCTACCGAGTGGGGACAAACAGCTCTGAATTCTGACATGCAGAAAAACTTGGAGGATTTTCTTTTCATGTCATCTGGAGGCTGCTTTAGTTTTGCAGTCAAAAGTTTTCACAACCCAGAAATCTGGAATTAATCCAAATTAATGTCAAGGTCTAGTGATGAAAATTTCAAGGGAGATGAAAATCTGTTTCTATTACTGAACAAATATAGGAAGAAAAACCTTGAGCTTTTGGTGATAAAAATACTGAGCTTTCTTTTATGAGAATCATAAAGGAGATTTTAATCTTTTGCCCCTTTAATTCATTCTAGCTAAACCTCCTATCACCTGTGAGGAATTAAGGGATTTTTTTTTTTCCTTCAGAATTCTAACTGGATGTCAGGGAGAGGTCTGTTGCTAAATCCTGCAGGCTTCACCTGTATACTACCTTGAGGACTTGTTAACACTTGACTTAAATAATTTTGGTTCATGCTTCATCTATCTGTAATTCAACTTGCTGCCATAGCTGTCAAAAGAAAAACCCACAGCTTTTTCCACTTAAAAAGAAAAAATCAACAATTCACAATCCATAGAAAACTTGTAGTGCTATCGAATTCAAGTCTTCTATCAAGACACATTTGCAAACACGAGAAGGTCTAAAGAAATGAACTTATTCATAAAAGTGTGAAGCAGAGACTGCCCATTAGTCCCAGTGCCTTTCCCTTAAGTCACCTGATCAGCTAGTGTGCTCTTGTAAATCCCACCAGCTGCAAATCCTGCAATCTGCCTGACTTCATTTTTAAGATCCTGCAGCTTCTCCGTATTTGCAGAATGTATGCTTCCCATCTAGCAAAGGTCTTTCTAAGTATATACATGTTTCAACTTCCCATAAACTTTATCATTAGCTGTATTAGCTTTCATGGCTCTCACTAGAGTAGAAAATTCATTGCATTTTTGTTTCTATTAAAAAAACCCACTCAACATTTTTATTTTATACTTTGCTATGTAAGTAGTGATGTTTTACATTTGGCATATTGTGTCCTTATGATTGCTTGTTATGCTGTTATAGTGCTCATCTTAGGAAGTTATTATGTAGAAGATTTTGAGAAATTAGAATAGATAACATTCCAGAGCATCAAAACTACTGAATGATTATTCCTTTTTTTTTTTTTTTCTAAATGAGGTATCACAATTTCCTTTCCTGAAAAAACAGTTTGTACATTATGGATTTACACTGGAAATCTAAACTGGACAAAACAGTAATATGCTAGAACTTGTTACAGTCTACTAGACTTGAAAAAATGTTTACTTAGGAAATTGTCACAGCTTATTAAATCAGAAAGATCAATCTATTCTTTAGTGCTAAAAGAAGAAAAATAGAGCATTTGAACTGAGAAATTAATTGCTCAAAAGCAGATAAATGTTCTAAAACTGCTAACCAACTTATTTTTTGTTTTCCAGATCGCATGTATGGCACATGTGAGATAGACTGGGCAAAAGCCAACTTCTCTACAATCTACAAATCCTACATTGTCTCCATTTTTATCTGCTGTTTTTTCCTACCTGTCTCAGTCATGATCTTCTCATATGTGTCAATTATCAATACTGTCAAACTAAGTCATGCATTAACAGGACTGAGTGATCCCACAGACAGACAGAGGAGAATAGAGCGGGACGTCACCAGGGTGAGTTTGGGTTTCATGTTGGATGGGATTTATCTCAATGAAATCAGTTTCCCCAAAATTGTTCTCATCAGAAACAGAAAGGAATAAAACCAATCAGTTGCACTTCATTTCTAAATAATATCTAGTGACAGAGTCTTAACTCAGTGAAGAATATGAGACATTTGTTTGAAATTCCTGCCCCATCAGTTGGCTAATACTGGTGCTACATCACATGTGAAAAATAATCTAAATCTAATCAGAGTCAGTTATACAGCACAAAACCAAAAATTTGCTTTGGTGTATGCTCTTTTCTTTCAGAAATTATGTTACTTTTGAGCACACAGAAGAGTTACAGTAGAATTTTCAATTTACTTGACTTAGGCCTATTTGAAACCTTTTGAATTCGTATAAACATACAGGAGAGAGTAGCTATTTTCATTCCATTAGATGAGGCAATGCTCAAGCACACCACCGTGCCAAAATTCAATATACAGTTTCTAGGTATGCCTGGCTCCATCAAAGCAAACGTTTTGCTTCCCTGAATTCTCCTGTGAGCCATACACTAAGGACAATCTGAGTGTTTCCCTCCCAGCCAAGTGTCCAAGTTCCTATTCCCAGCTTACTGCTTCCCTGATGGAGTCTTCCAGAGTAGATTTATTATTAGTCTTCTGTCTTTTAGGTTTCTATTGTCATTTGCACAGCCTTCATTATTGCGTGGTCACCGTATGCTGTCATCTCTATATGGTCTGCCTATGGTCACCCTGTGCCCAACCTTACCAGCATCCTTGCCAGTTTATTTGCTAAGTCTGCCAGCTTCTACAATCCCATTATCTACTTTGGAATGAGCTCCAAATTTCGGAGGGACATTTTCATCTTATTCCGTTGTGCCAAGGAAGTGAAGGACCCTGTGAAGCTCAAACGTTTCAAAAACCTCAAGCAAAAACAACAAGAGCCCTCTCAGAAAGGAGAGAAGTATGCAGGAGAAATGCACCCTGCACCAAGCCCTGATTCCGGGGTGGGAAGTCCAACCAACACCCCACCTCCAGCAAACAAGGAAGTGTATTTTGGTATTCTCGACACACCATCTAATAATCCTGATATTGAATGTGACAGACTGTAAGTCCTGTGGCCACTTAACACATGCATCCACCTTGTGTTCAGGACAACCCTCTTCAGATCAGTGCTTGAGTGATTTCCTAATTCCCAGTCCATCTGCTTCTTGCTGTAGCACTGATGACTATACAACTCAAGCAAATCCAATGGTAAAGTGATATTTTTCCTTCTGTGTAGGTACCTAACACTACAAAGCACATTACAACGTGGACAGCACATCCAGTGCCAGAAGCACCCGATTTTTAGGTGCATGCAGGAAAAAGAAGACTGACTTGTGAAGAGCAGGCATTAGCTAGCAAAAATAATTCATACATTCCTATCTGAATTTTATTAATTAGGAGATTGCATTTCCAAATACGCTTTTCTTCTTCAGCAGTCCCAGCCATAGAGAATCATTTTAGCTCTGCGGTGCTGCACAGCCCAGGCTGTAGAAGAAGACTGCAGGGCCCCGCTGAGGTTGCTGCTGAGCTGCTGCAGCTCCAAGGGCTGCGAGCTAGTGGGCAAAGCTGTCTGATCACCATGGGGCACCACGCCCCCCATGGGGCCCAAAGCCGTACCCTCTGTGGGGATCCCAAGCCCTGTGCATCCATGGGTATGCGTCTGATCACTTCTGCCTGACCCTGTGCAAGTGCTAGGAGTTGTAGATCTTGGTGTTTTCTAGCCACTGTAGTCCAAACAGTGGTTTCATTCTTTTCCTTCTTTGTCTGCAGAATTATTTCTGCCTTCCCAGACCTTCCCAGTGAGCAGGGCCTGACTGTAGCATTTAGATTCGTGAAAGCTCATTTTACTGATCTGTTTCCCAACCGGTTGTTTTTCTACCTGACTATAAAGGTGGAGCAAAACATGTTGTACAGGCAACAAAACCAAAAATGACGCTAAGGTTTTAAGAGTACTGATGAAGTGTGGCATCAGAGCTATCTGCAAAACACAATCCAATATTTCTCTGCTGCTTCTAAAGAAAATTTTTGTACCTGCCTATGGTTAAAAAATGACTTTTAGGTAAACATAACTAAGTAGCAATGAAGGATAGCAATTTAAATAAATAAGCTGTAGGCTTAAATCATTAGCAAGTCTATCAAGTATTATAATATCCAATTATTCCACCAAGTTTATTTTACAGAATCAAGGAGGTGTATCTTTGTAATTCCACATCTTGGAAATTAACTGCATACTCAGAGACTTCTATAAAAATGTCTCTGTACTAGCCATGGAAACTGTGGGTTCATTTAGTGCCATTTGCAAGTTAAAAAACAAAACCCAATAACATTGGTTGCTCACCTCACTGCTATTTAGAACTTTTTGGAATCTCACTGTTTGTGTGCATGAAAATGTAGTTGTTTTGCAAAAGTATACTTTTCCAGATGTGTTTCTTGGAAAAGACACAAAGAGAGTCTGCCTTCACTTCCCCCTTTACTCTATTTGTTTTGAGAAGATCACCTGTGTTTTGAATTTGAAAACAAATAAACATTATAAGCAACAGTGGAGAACAGTGTCTTCTTTCATGGCCACAGATGTAAACTTCAAGAGTATTCATTTTTGTGGAGGATTTTAAGATACGGGTGCTCTTTCATTACCATAACCAATTAAAGGCAAATAAGTAAACAGTTTGCTTCCAGATAAAAGCACATGCTGTAGCTGCAGAAACAGTTGAAATCATTTAGGGCAAAATCTCATCACAGCTGGATGAAGCCAGGCTGGGCTAGCCAAAGCTGGTGTGCAGTTTTGAAAACTTCTAGGTGTAGCACAAAATCCACCTTGGTAACCCAGCTGGCTGGGAGTGCTTGGGTTTTCCTCTAAAGAAAGAGGATGCATGCCTTCTGGATGTGGTTCTTGGAGGTACCTACAGCCACAGGTGTGCTGAACACCTGCCCATAGAGCTCCCACGCCCATAGATGCCAGGCTAGCCTTTAGTCTGTATAACCAATAATTTATAGCTAACTAGCAAAAATCTCTGCCCTGCTGCATTGTAGCAAAGATGTTGATCTGCAGGATTCAGACTCCGACATAGAAAGACGTGAAAAGGACAAGGGGGAAGGTGGAGAAACAAGGCCATTTCCAAGAGTGCCCCCAACCTCCAAATTAAATCTCTTCTGGTTCATAAGCTATTGAGCAGGTACAGTGAGGTTAGACTCAAGGAAGAGAGACTAGTAAAAATAAGCTCTAGAATAGGAGCAGAGCAGAGGAAAAATATGAGTGGGACAACAAGATAAGCAGGAGAGCAAGGGGCAGGAGCCAAAGGATCCATACCTGCTGAGACAACCAGAAACAGCCAACACCAAAAAAGCCTTGGCTGGACTACAACAGATCTCCCTCCTGCAAGGCCTATGGCTACAGTCCCTTGTGGATATATGGTAATACCAAGCACAAGAATAAATTTAAGATTCAAAGAATGTCCAGGTAGTACCACAATAAGAACACAAAACAAAATTACTAATGGAAAGTAATAATCCCATTGCTAATAAAAAAAAAAAATTCTAGCAGCACTGAATGATAAAAAAAAAAAGTACTTCCAGCTGTCTATGCCAATAACCATCACCTTTAATGCTCATTGAACGAGACAAAAGCCCTTTAGGAATAACAAAGACACAGCATTTAATTATGTAATAGGATATAACCTAGTAAAACAGGAATGGAAGGACTTATAGAAATCACTGCAATAAATGCCCTATCTCACTGATACCTGACAGCCTCCAGTAGCCTTTGACACCATCCACCAGCCAGCAGGCCTGCTGGAAAGAGCCACTGCTAGGACAAAGCTTGGATGGTCCTGGGGGGTGCGCCTGGGACTGGAGGCACATCCATTGGGTGCAGCACAAGGTCAGTGCGAACTGCTCGAGCAGAAGGTGCCCGTGTGCAACAAATCAACCACAGTAAATGCAAAAGGAAGTCAGGAATAATGTTTGGCAGCACAAATGACAACACAAGCATGTCTTGATGATGTCACCTGGCAAAGCCTTACCACATGCCAAAGATAAATTTCAAATGGATTCATATCATACAACATTCACACAGAGACGTGGGAGAAACTTAGTGAATTCAGGGCTTCACCTGGTAAACTGCTGAACAAAACTAACTTCTCTAAGAACAAGCTAGCTAATCCATGTGATAACATGTGGCCTATATGTGGTTTTAAAGGGAATGGAAAACAGGCTTTTACTCATTCATGATTGATGCCGTGTTACCTGACAATCCAGCCCTTAGTGTCCTTTGCTGAAAGGCCATCAAGTACAGCAGTGTTACCAAATGTGCTATCATAAAAAAAAAAAAATCATCCCAGGCAAATGAAAAGCCCAAGAATTTGAAAAAGAGGAGACTTGTATCTCCTCCCAATTTGGAGGAGCTATTATAAGACCATTCTCCATCCTTGGCATCGTGTCAAGGGAAACCATTCACTTTTGGAAGGCTCATAAACCTTATTCTTTGAAAGATGCTATACATTCTTGCAACGATAATACATCTTAATGTGATGGCACTGACAGGGAGTCCAAAGGAGGGAGAGAAGAGCATCATGAAAGTCACTGTTCACTGTCTGACTATCAAAGCACAAGAACACCTTGGAAAGTTGAGGATGATTCAGACCAACCGTGCAGCATATAAAAGGACAAAGAAAATGAGCTACCAGGACAGTGAAATTGCTATGTTTATGTCATATTTCTCTTTTTCCTGGGATGGTACAATCCAGCTGAGGCATGCAAACCAGCACTGTGGCACAGTGAATTTGCCCTGCAAATTGCTTTCATGGGTTGGCAAGCTGGGAGCACAAGTTAGATCCATGTCTGGAGAGCTGTTTCCTATTTTGGTGAGCTACAGTACTTGCTCGAGCTGGCAGTCTTCTCTCTGGGAGACAAATGTCACTGATAGACCTTAGCTAAATTCACCAGAAGGTCTTCTTAAACATTTCAGCTTCTAAAAGACTTCAGAGCTTTAATAAGAGGTGGAGCACACTGGCTCAGAAAGAGTGGGAAAAGGTGACTTTCCTTAAGAGGGCTGTGAGGAAAGACCAGGCTAGCACTAGGATAACTAGTCACATATACATGCAGATCAAGAAGCCAAAAAACCTGACATCACGACTTACAACCTAAGAAGAGAAAGGCTTTATCAACTTCTGGGATGCAGCAGTATTTAGCAGACTTGAGTCTTCCCGCAGTCAGTTTAGACCTCCTCTTTGCTTATGCCTCACTCACTGGCTCTGTGTAATGGTTGCTGGTGCCCACCCCTATCTCTGTTGATCCAGTGAGACCTTGAGGAGAAATGGTATCCCAGTTTCACATTTCTAGTCTAACAGAAACCTCATGTTTCAAGTTCTGTGTTTGCAGTTTGTTTTATTGCTCCATCCCATATCATACCCAATACACACTACTGGTAGGGGATTTGACAACAGATAAGGAAGAGCACAGCCAACAACCTGAACGTTATTACAGGGGAACACAACATCAAAGCACTTTCTAATAAGAATTCTTATTGCAAAGCAGGCACAGTTTTTCCCAATTGCTTTTCTTCATCCAGCCTACTATGAAAGTAAAGCATCACCATGGAACAGTGAAACATGGGGAGTTTCCAGTGTCGGCCCTTACCTGTTCTGCCTATAAAGAGCCCAATAAGCATCCACCAAACTAACAGCAAAGAACAGGCTTAGCATATGCACCAAAAAAACAAGACAGAAAGTGATCCTCCTGAAGTCCTCCTGCAAAGACAACACGGATTTGGGGTCATTTCCCCTTTATAATCATATGCAACAGAAACAAGGTTAGCAAAGTTATATTGCCACAATATATACCTGGGACACCACTTCTGGCCTCAGAAAATTATATTCTCCAAATAAGATGCACTGAGTGAATCTGCTCAGTAATCTAAAGACTTTTCCATAATGTCTCCATCTGCAAAATCTGGAATTGTACTTCACTCAGCAAGTTCAGTTGCAGTTCAGTGGGCACAGTCAGGTCTAGGGATGCTCAACATATGGTCTCTCAGCTGTAGATCCCAAAGATTACTAATGAAGATGACATG